CCACAGCCCCACCTGGTCTGGGCTGCCTGCTACCATGCTCAGGAGACTGTTAGTCCTCTTCTTTGGTTCACGTGTCTGCTGATGTGGCGCCCATGTGCTCACCGCTGGATCTGACAAGTTTTTTGTCTTTAAAAAAACTGAAATGCCGGGCGCCTGGGTGGCTCAGTTGGTTAAGCGACTGCCTTCGGCTCAGGTCATGATCCTGGAGTCCCGGGATCGAGTCCCGCATCGGGCTCCTTGCTCAGCAGGGAGTCTGCTTCTCCCTCTGACCCTCCCCCCTGTCATGCTCTCTATCTCATTCTCTCTCAAATAAATAAATAAAATCTTTAAAAAAAAAACAAAACTGAAATGCCTTTGTGGTTTAACTACTAACCCATTGGTTGAAACCTGAATGCTGTTTACCTCTTTGTAATTTGAGCATCATGAAACCTTACGTTCTGGGTCTTGGGGAGGTTTGTTGGGTGCTTGGATCCGCTCTCCCTTTTTTTTTTTTTTTTTTTTTTTTAAGATTTTATTTATTTATTTGAGAGAGAGAGAATGAGAGACAGAGAGCATGAGAGGGAGGAGGGTCAGAGGGAGAAGCAGACTCCCTGCCAAGCAGGGAGCCCGATGCGGGACTCGATCCTGGGACTCCAGGATCATGACCTGAGCCGAAGGCAGTCGCTTAACGAACTGAGCCACCCAGGCGCCCGCTCGCCCTTCTTTTTCATCTCCCTGCCCCGCCCAGGACTCCAAGCCCAGGTCCACTTCTAAGGCTTAGCTTCCTCTGTTCCTTCTACTGACTGCCTCCTGCCCGTTCTCCCTCTGCATCCTAATCCATTTTTTTTTCACCTTTTAATTTTATTGAGGCGTAATTTACATAAGATAAAATGCCTAGGTCAGTGAGTTTCGAAAACTGCACACACCTGTACAGCCCACACCTCTCTATAGGATGATCTTGATAGGACTGCGGGTCACATGGGTGTATGCTTTTCCATCGTTCCAGGAAATTCCCTGAGGGACCCTTCCCACTCCAGCCTCAGTTTCTTGCTCAGGCAATCACTGTTATCTATTTTCCCATAGAAATAAGTCCTAGGACTGCCTGCCTGTCCTAGAATGTCGTGTCAATGATATTACACAGCACATACTTTTTGTGCCTGGCATCTTTCACTTTTGTAAGGTTTCTGAGATCCATTCATGTGGTTTCATGGGTCAGGAGTTCTGTCTTTTTATTGCTGAGTAGTATCCCATTGTATGAATATACCACGCATTGTTTGCCCTTCATCAGTTGTAGACATTTGGGTTGTTTCCAGTTTTGGGTTATTGCGTCTAACACTCCCATGACAATTCTCGTGCAAGTCTTTTTGTGGACATACGTTTTATTTTGCTTGGGTAAATGCTGAGGGGTGGAACTTTGGGTCATGGGGTATGTATATATTTATCTTTTCGAGAGATCACCATTTTTCAAAATGTATCGTTTTTATACTCCCATCAGCAATGCATGAGAGTTCCCGTAGTTCAGCATTCCTGCTTACATTCAATGTTGACTTTTTAATTTTAGCTGCTCTAGTGGGCATGGGCATGAAATAGATATTACTGTGACTTTAATTTGAATTTCCCCGGGAAGGTAAGCAATTTTTCATGAACATTTTTTCTTGGTCCATTTCTGTGTCATTGTGTTCCACTACTTTTATTTCCTTCCTTCTACTTACTACAGATTTCATTCATTCTTTTTTCCTAGTTCGATTAAGTGAAGTCTTAGATCATTAATTTTAGAAACTTTTTTTTCTCATATAAGCATTTAGAGCTCTAAGTTTCCCTTTAAGCACTATTTTGGTGCATCTCATAAATGCTGATATACCATTTTCTTCACTATCAGTTGGTTTGAAATATCTTCTGATTTTTCGTGTGAATCCCAGTCATTCTAAAAGACTCAGTTTAAATCTTATTTCTTCTCTTTCTGATGACCGAAGCCTAATCTTTCTTCTCTACCTCATTCATTACATATTTTCTCTTTATAGTCTTGTATATTGTTTTAATCTCTCATTTTCCTGTGCATGCACGTTTATTTTATGTAATTGTCTTTTACTGACTCCCTAAGTGAACAATAGGCTCCTTGGTTGCGAGAACTCTAATGAGGGCTTTGTAACCTTGTTAGTATCTTGTCTGTAGTTGGCATATAATTAACAGACATTTCTCAAACACCATTAATGTGGAAGCTGCTGTGGGTGATAAAAGTTGGGTGTAATCCAGAAATCTTGAAGAAGTTAACTAATTTTTAAAAAGATGTTAACTAAAGACATAAAATAATACAGAATAAGAGCCAAATAGAGGAATGGGCATTAAACACTCTGGGTAGTCAGAAGAGGAAGAGACGACTGTAGAGGGATTACTTGAGGAAGACTCCAGAGAGGAAATGGGATTTGAACTGGCTCTGAAGCAGAGGTGAGACTTAAGTGAAGAGGAGGAAATGGCATTCCCACTGGGGGCAGGGGCGGGGGAGGAGCATGTGTAAAAGTCCTGGGGTAGAAACATAAACTGTTCCTTTGGAGGTCAGGGAAGAGACCAGTGTGGGAAAAGCTGGGGGAGGGAAGTCAGGGATATTGTGTAGAGGGCTCCGTTTACCCAGCTGGGGATATTGGGGTTATGGGGTTATCAGTTCTGATGGCAGATTTGTGATGCCATCTCGGTGCTCATGCAGTCTTCTATCCTACTTGGCCTCCAAATCCTTGGGGGTTTCCTTTCTTGGTCGCCTCTGTATCCCAGTCTCTGCTCTGAAGCAGCAGTTCTGTTTTTTTAAGGCCGACAGCCAGGAGTCCTAGTGATCTGGTGTGTTTCCATGAAACCCCGGTCTATCTCCAATCCTTCCTGCCCAGCCCAAAGAGTGTCTGCACCTTTCATTAAGAAAAAGGAAAGTACCTTTTTCAAATGAATATCATAAGACAGAGAACCCAAGTGCTTTTCTCTGGGAAGGGCAAAGCACTTCTGTCTACAGACCAGCATTGACTGTGGCCCTGTGTATCCATGCATTCACTCATTCACTCCAGAGTCTGTTTTCATCCTTCTCCTTGGATGCATCTGGCTGGAACACAAGAGGCATTTTCATCCTACAGAATTTTACTGCAGACCTTTGGTGTGCATCATATGAAGCTAGATGGTTTGGTTGGTTGTGTGTGTGTGTGTGTGTAGGAGTGGCCCCAGACTAGGAAGAAGCTGCAGGAACTTGTGAAGGGTTGGGACAGCAAGGTTCCTCATGTGGTAGATACCGAACAGCAAATTCAGAGGCAGGGCGCTCTGAGAGACCAGGGGAGGGGGCATCGGGGCTACTCAGAGGAGGCTTCCAGAAAACTCGGGGGTTGAGGGGCTGGATTTGGATTCAGGAGGGGATAATGCAGACATTGTCTTGGAGTTGCTGCTGAGCACTACATTGCAGGTGACTGTAAGAAGCCTACCTGGCTGAGACAGAAGTGTGTATGGAGGGGTGGGGAGAGGAATGAAGCTTTGGTGGAGGTTGTTTCCTTAGGCTTCCCGAGGCCTAAATCTATGCTGAAACAACAGCCAGAATTCATAGAATTAAAGGCATTTCTTACTTAGATGTAATTATATGTGTAGAATTGACTATTCCGATAATAATCCATCTTTAAAAATGCAGTGTGAGGGCGCCTGGGTGGCTCAGTTGGTTAAGCGACTGCCTTCAGCTCAGGTCATGATCCTGGAGTCCCTGGATCGAGTCCCGCATTGGGCTCCCTGCTCGGCGGGGAGTCTGCTTCTCCCTCTGACCCTCCCCCCTCTCATGTGCTTGCTCTCTCTCGTTCTCTCTCTCTCAAATAAATAAATAAAATCTTTAAAAATAAAAAATAAAAAAAAAAAAATGCAGTGTGAGTTATGGCCAGTTAGGTTTCTGAATGCCACGTTAAATCAACCTCAAGCCTTGGTCCTGCTGGATCTCCCTGAGACCCTGTCTGCTAGGCCAGGCTGTGTGAGTGGCAGCAAATGGAAGAGAGAAATTCTGCTTCTCTGGTGCCCGGGGCTAAGTAGAGAGGTGTCTTCAAGAGTCCCCCAGTCACCACCAAGGGCAGAGTGGTACCCCCCTCAACTGACTGGGGGCTGGGAAGGGGTGATCACCTGGGCTGGGCTGGGGTGGGTGAGTTCAGAGCTCCCCAGGGCATACCCCAGGGCAGCCTAACTAACCTCCCTAAGGGACTGGAGTCTGAATCTGGCAACCTATTGTATGCATTTGGACGTAGAAGCCAGGGAACCAGCCTCATTAGGGGACACTTTAGGGGATATTCTTTAGCCCCTGACTGGTTGGTTTAAGGGGCTGAGGGATGTTGATTTTAAAAATATACTGTCTCTGGGGATACTGCTTTGGGGACTTAGATAGCTTCCTCCAACCTCAGAGCTCACAATAGAATAAAATAGTATAGATTGCTAATTTAAAATGAAAAAACACATTCCTATCTCCCCTCCTGCCCAAACTGGAGCCAGCCAGTGACCATGTGGTGGGTCATGCTGGTTCCCCTTCATGTTTCCCGGTGGGAAGCGGGCCCCCTCTCCGCTCCTGGGGCCTGGCTCCTGGCTCAGAGCTGCTTGCCCTTTTGTAGGGATACCCTCAACCCTCCCCCTGCAGACCAGGCTTATTGGTTGTGGGAAGAGACATCCGTGTCAAGCTCTGTGACAAGTTTAAGGACAAAGGGAAAACTGTGTAGCCCTGGTTCTGGTTCTGGGTGGGGGCCCAGGGAGGGACAGAACCCGGCCAGCTCCCTCATCCATGTGCTCTCTCTATCCCATCACTTCCTGATTCGTGGCCCTTTAGTTTCATAACTTTGACAATTCTGCCAAGGCTGCATACACACTTAACTTCTTCTAGTTTGTTCTCTTTGGTCACATGTCTTGGAGGTGAAGTGCTTCAGAAACTTCCCACTGCTGGCTTCCCCCCTGTGCTCTGCCCTGTGCACTCTGCAGGCCTGGGGCTGCCGTCCCCCCTGTCCCCGCTCTGACACAATGTCATTTCTCACCAGAGCTCAGACATCCTCAGCACCACAGGCTACGACTGCATCATTCAGCACCTGAACAACGGCCGCAAGAACTGCAAAGAGTTTGAAGACTTTTTGAAAGAGAGGTACACGCTGTTCTTCCTTGAAGACGGAGGGGGAGACAAAGCACTCCCACTCAAAGGAACCATTTACTGCTTTCTGTTTGTCTTCAGGGGTTCACAGGTCCTCTGCTCTAGGTTATGGGATGATACCCAAGAAGTAAATGATATTTCTGTCCTGAAGTTCTTAGAAATCATTGTGACAGATGAGATTTATGAGTGAAACAGCAAACAAATTATCATAAAATCCAGTGAGGTGATACGCATAGCACTAAAAACCTCATGGGAGAGGGAGATTGTGAAAGACCGGTATAAAGAGGGGCAGACAGGACCTTTGAGGGGCCCTCGGAGGGTGGTGTGGATTTGATAGATGGAGGAGTAGCTAGGTGTCTGTGGGAGGACAGCAAGCTTGCAGGTGGAGATGAGCATGACTTACCTGATTCAGAGACCCGGGTGGGGTGGGGTGGGGTGGGGTGGCCATGGCCACAGAGCAGTGAGAAAGAGGGGGGTGGGTCACAGCATTCCAGAGGGCAGGGGGTGTTCAGGGCAGTCCATGCCAGTTTAGAGGATTTTTCCTTTCCTTTTCTTTTTTTAATAGATAGGATTTTTTTTTTTTAATTCCATACTTAATGGGGTAAGTTAGTTTTGTGGAAAATCTTATCCCACCAGAATACTCAATTTCCCAGTGATTCCGGATGAAGGAACACTTTAGAGGGATCTTTGGCCAAAGATCAGGGTTGTTGCCAGGACCCAAACTAATGAACAGATTCTATTTGTCTTTTTTGTTTGTTTGTTTGTTTTTAAAGATTTTATTTATTTATTTGAGAGAGAGAGAATGAGAGACAGAGAGCATGAGAGGG